GAGGAAGCCAGAGACAGGCAGAACCTGGGGCTCACTGGCCAGCGGGCCTAGCCTACTTAGTGAGGTCTAGGGTTCCAGTGAGAGACCCTGTCTCAAAAACAAGGTAAAAAGCATGGAGGAATGACTCCTGAGGGTATCTCCTGGCTGGCTCAAAGCCACCAGTCAAGGTCATCCCCGCAGGAATTCTCAAGCTACCTCAATGACTTGTTTTTGTTTTCTGATAACCACAAGTTTTTACATTTCTTGAACATCTGCTGTTTTATTATCATTTGCCGTAGTCCAAGAAGGACAGTGTATTATGATTTGTGTATTTGTTAGTTTGATTGACTTCATTCTGAATAAAGACTATGTGGCCCAGGCAAGCCTAACTTTGGCCTTAAGTGTTTTGTGCGTGAAAAATGTTATGAGCTGCTTTCCTGGGTCAGGCACTGCTGGGGCTGGGTGGGAGACTCAAAGACAAAAAACACATTCTTCCTTCCCTAGAGGAGCTGACAGTCCAGTGTTTTTGAGGGAGGCTCCCTCCAAATCCAGCTTCCAACATTCTTCTTAACAGAACTCCTTAGTGTTTTGTATAACATACAGCAGACATTCACCGTTTTATTTGCTTGGCAGTTCTGAATCCCAAAATTTACTTGTATGGTTCATGCTTGTACTTAAGCTTTGAGGTAAAGCCAATTCATGGTGCTCCTTGGTCTGAGGTCACATGGATAGCTCTCACTTCTGGCTGGATAAACACTGCCTGGTAAGATGTGGATTCTCTCTCTGCCTCCTCTGTCTCTGTCTCTGTCTCTCTCCATGTGTGGTGTATAGATGTGGGTGTTTGCACAGGTGCGTGCATGCATGTGGCTGTGGTGATCAGAGGTTGACACTGCATGTCTTCCTCAGATTACTCTCCATGTTGCTTCTGAGACAGTCTCTTATTGAACGGAGAGCTCATTTATTGGCTGCCCTGGCTGCCCTGTGAACCCCAGGAATCACTTACCTCTACCTTACCTCTCCCAAGTGTTGGGGTTACAGCAATGCTCGCTGTGCCTGGCTTTTTATGTGGGTGATAGGAATGTGAACTCAGGTCTTCACGCTGGTGGGGCAGACACTTTACCAGCTGAGCTATCTCACTAGTCTGAAAAGTGGACTCCTGATAAAGGTTTTGCCTTTTGAGGTGGTAGTTGATATTGTCATGAGGCCAGAGACCTCAGTCTTATTTGAGAGGGGACATACTAAAGGTCAGAAAGTCAGAAAGCTACTATTAAACACAATGCAGGTCTTCAATGGGACATATGATAATGACCGTGTGATCTCATCCTGCAGCTTTGAAGAGAAATGTACTCCCTTAAAGTTCTAAATGTGTTTTTCAATAGAATTTTCTCAAAGAATGGAAACTGTCTTTATCTGTATAGTCCTAGAAAGGAATCACATCTAAGGCTGTTGATCCCATAAAACATGATCAGCACGATTAAGGAAGTGAATGTTTAATTTTATTTAAGTTGAAATACTTTAAATTCCAATAACTATATGTGGGTATTACTATTATTACCTGGTTAAGCAGTACAACCCAAGAATTATATTTTCTTTATCATCAGCTGTAATGGTTTGCACCTAATCCCATCGCTCAGGAGGTAGAGGCAGGAGGATTATCAATTGGAGGCCAACCTGTGTTGTGACATTTTGTCTCAAAACAACAAATATTTTCCTTCCTGGATCCTGAAATAACATGTTATGCAATATACAAGTCCTTTAAAAAGTGATAAATCTCTAAATGCTGATTAAAAAAAAAATCTCTATACTGTGTTTATAGTAACCTATACTGTGGCATAGTAGGTTAGCAGTCCCACAATGATTATGATATAGAACCTCAAGTAGGCGACTGTCATCACATGGTGATTTCTGGTTAAGCACTTTAGCCAGGACACATCTCTCAGACCCCTTCTTTTACCAGTTAGGTGACCCTGGGAAGGCCACATGACCTCTGTGTCTTCATTTTCTCTGTAAAATGCAGTTGATAATAACCGTATGTATTCTACAGGCTTGCTGTAAGAATTAGTAATTCATACGAAAGCATTTATCCTGGTGCCTTGCTACATGGCCATCATTCAACAGAAACCTGGCTCTTTGCAGACAGACAGACCTCTGGAAAGGTTGGCTGGCTGTTCCTTAATGTTCAGAGAGCCATTCTGACATAGTCTGTTCTGAGTCAACTGAAGTGTCAACACAGTACAAAAGAAGGCCATTAATAGAGCTTGCAGAGTTATAGCTGACTTCAGCTAAGTAGAATAAACATCATAAATAACTGATTAGGAGAGGTTCCATCTGAGCTGCCCATACATCAGTGGATTTTCAGGAAAGAAAGGAGACTTTTAGCCCAATCCTTTCATCCCACAAAGGAGGGAATTCAGTCCCATGGAAGCCAAGTTGAACACAGCCTTGTAGGATCGGAGGTAAGCTTGTGCTTCCTGACCCTGTATCCACTCAGACAGTGAGGAAAGATGTAATTTAAATAAATGTTTACACATTTATTTCTGTTATTCAAGTACCTCATCTGGATACTCAAGCCAATGCAGACTATTTGCACTTGATTATAAGTATTCATAGAAGGAAAAAGTAAACCCTGTAACTTCCATATCACTGAGGATTGAAGGCCCCAGGAAAATTAAGAAATGCTGGGCACTGCTGAAGAACATGGGCTTAAACCCCACGCTAACTCTAGAACTTGAGCTCTTTAGCCTCTCTGAACTAGTTGGCTCATTCACAATGTACTGGTTATAACTGTATTGACTTTATAAAGGTTTTAGTATTAAATAAGCTGCACAGAAATTGAAAAGAAAAACAACTGTCTTCCTGTTTGTTTTATAATCAAAATTAAATAAGATTCATTGTATTATCAAATTATTTTAAATAATAGGAAACATGAAAATCTAGAGACACAAAATTCTGTGTTTGTAAAGAAATAAATTCTGTGTCACAACAGGGCAGATGAATCTGTTTAGTTTAGTAGGTCAAACATGAGTCAGAAAATGCTGACTCCAACCTTCTCTGTACAATAAGGCCTTAACACAGTAGTACATTCAATTGAATTTCATTGTCTCCATGTTCAGGAGACAGAACAATCATCATCAGGCTGGGGAGACGACCTAGTGGGTAAAGTGCACACACTGCAAGTGTGCTCGATAGATTTAGTGTCAAACTGACGCACCTGGGTAGAGGGAGCCTCAATTGGTGAGTTACCTCCATTGGATGGGCCTGGGGGTGAATTTTCTTGATTATTGAGTGATGTGGGAGGGCCCTGCCCACTGTGGGTGATGCCACCCCTGGGCAGATTGTCCTATATTATATAAGAAAGAAGGCTGAGCAGGGGCCAGGAGAGCAAGCCAGTAAGTAGAGTTCCTCCATGGCCTGTGCTCCAGCTCCTGCCTCCAGGTTCCTGCCCTGAATTCCTACCTTGGACTCTCTGATGAACTATGACCAGGGAGATGTGAGTAAAAAAAATCCTTTCCTCCCCAAGTTGGTATTGGTCAGAGTGTTTTGTCACAGCAATGGAGAAACAAACTAGAACAGCAAGTATGAAGACCAGAGTTTGGATCCCCAGAACCCCGACATAAAGGTCAGGCAGGCATGGTGGCTGTCTGTAATCCTAGCTTCCCAGAAGCAGAGACAGAGATGGGATCCCTGGAGCAAGATGGCCAGAGACAGAGATGGGATCCCTGGAGCGAGATGGCCAGCTAGAATGGCTGGGAATTGGTGTGCTCTGGGTTCAGCAAGAGATCTTGCCTCTATAAATAAAGAGGAGGGTGATCAAAGAAGACACCTGATGTCAACTTTGGCCTCCAAATGCATGTGCACACACATTCATGCACACCTGTATACACGTGTCCATACACATGCAAATATCCATATACACATGCATGCATACCACCGCCCCCCTCAAATAATTCATAAGCAGTGGTCTTCTCCATGGCAGTGCAGGATGCTACTGCATAGATAAGCAACGCAGTGTGCAGTCTCCCAATCTCACAAAACTCTGCTGAGATGCTGGTCTGGCTGGCGTCTGGGCTGCAGGATGACTTTCTAGGAGGGGCAATCTTCCCTTTTTCTTCTACGTTGGTTCTGTATGTTTAGTTTCTGGACATGTGCTTCTATCTCTGTACCAGCCACGCTTTCATGGACTGCAGGTACTGAGGCCCTGCTCTGTCCTCTGCCTGACTGTCCAGCAGTGACCTAAGTCCTTTGTCTGACTTGCAGTTACTAGGTCTTAGGGCTCAGAATCATTAAATTGTCTTTATCTGCAGGGAAAGGTAATCACATAATCTTGGCAAATCTCCCCTACAGAAATTACCCTTAAAACATTTAAAAGTTAAAAAAAAATCTTAAAAAAATTAAAACTTTAAAGTTAAATATTTTAAGGTTTAAAAATCTATGAAAAAAAAATTTTAAATGGCAAAAAAATGAAAACTCTAGGCCAGGGAAATGGGTTATTCAGTAAAGTGCTTGCTGCACACGCATGAGGACCTGAGTTCTGATCCCCAACACCCATGTAAAAGCCAGGCACGGCAGCACAAGTCTGTAATCCCAGTGCCGGTAGAGTAGTGGGTATGTATGTATGACATGTGGATCCTCAGAGCTCACTGGCCAGTCAGCTTAGCCCATTAGTAAACACTAGGTTCAGTGAGTTCCCCTTCTCAGAAAATACGATGGAGAAGCTTGAGGAAGACACCTGAAGTCGACGTTTGGTCTCTACACACATGCATACACACACACACACACACACACACACGCATACACATGCGCACACACATCCTTACAAACATGTATATACCCCCCACCCCTGCACAACACACACACACACACACACACATACGCATACACACACACACATCCTTACAAACACGTATATACCCCCCACCCATGCACAACACACACACACACACACACACACACACACAGATAACGAGGCTTCTTCCTGAGCTTCTGTGAGGAGGTTATAGGTGAGTGGTGGTATTTCTCACCTGGAGGAACGTGTGGGCCCACAATCGCGATCTGACCTTGAGGACTGCGCTTTCTCCACCTCCCAGTCGTCTCACTGTACAAGAGACTTTCAGACACTCAATATTTGTACAGTTCTGCAAAATACGATAGGAGAGGCAAAATATCAGTGTTTTTAAATTGTTATTATTTTTATTATTTTATGTGTATGTGTGTATTGCCTGCATGTATGTAAATGCACCCATGTTGTGCAATGTCCTCAGATGTCAGAGTATGTCTAATTCCCTGGTACTGGAGTTATGGATGGTACTTAGCTACCATATGGGTGCTGGGAACTAAACCAAGGTCTTCTGCAAGAGCAGCCAGTGCTCTTAACTGCTGAGCCATCTCTCCAGTCCCAACATCAATGTTTTTAATGGTAGTAAAGAATCAACCCTGAATTCTATTTACTTATATTTTATTTCATCAGAAGTCATTATCTTACCTGAAAATTTAATTTACCCTATTTAATTTAGAGAAAGAACAAACTCATTGAGCAACTGAGGCAAAGAATAGTTAATGATAGTGAAGCATCATATTCTGATTGAAAGAGAGGTAAAATGTATCATAAGATATAGGAGACACGCTCATTTCTGAGGATGCCATCTTCCTGTGGCGACCAGTGAGTTGTCCTCTTTCACCTTCTCAGAACTCAGGAAGATGCTTCTTAGAGATGCCTGATACATTGGGAAAATCTGGAAAGAGTCACAGAGGAAGTTTTGAGTCCATGTCAACTCAAAGTTATTGACCCATGGACAAGAAATTGTTCTCCAACACTCTTCTATCCAAATTACTTCCTGATGGTAAAGCATGAGTTCCATTTATTAGGGTGTTTTTAAAGCAGTTCTTAGTATTGTCCAGCTCGTGGGAAGAGTTCATTATGAGGACATTCTACTTATCAAAATGTATCTTCTTAACTGGATCCCAGGGTCTAGAGGTGCTGTTTAGGGGCGGCTGTAGAGCCTTTAGGACGTGGAACCTGGCGAGCAGAAGGTGGTCACTAGGAGTGAGATTTCAAGATTATACCTGCTTCTGGTTCCCACCTGCAGTTTTTGCTTCCTGGTCTACTGCAGTATGAGGAAATGCTGCTGCCCAGAAGACCCAGTACCTTGTACTCCCCACTGTGACAAACTGAAACCCCTCTGAAGTGCTGAGCCAAGTAAACCTTTCCTACCTTAAGTGGTTTCAGTGAAGTATTTTGATCACAGTGATGGCAAAAATGACTAATATGCCAAGTATGGGAATTAATGGGTTCTTCACAGTCTGTTTCCCATGTGCTATGTGTGGAGTGGTACTTCTCTTACTGTGCTGGAGCTATGATCAAGAAACATCGCTGAAAGAGCAGAGTCAGTGCAGAGGCAGACAGGGGCTGACAATGGAATCCTGAGGTACAGGGCATTTAAGGACGGGAAGAAGAGAGGATCATAAACAGTTCCAATGTGGGGTCACCAAAAGGTAGGAATGCCACCAGGAGAGGACATTTGGGGAAAGCCGAGGGCTGCCATGGACACAGGAAGTGGACAATGTATCAAATGCAGAAGAGAACTTAAGAAAGACAAGGTTGTTGTAAGTTGAGAAACAAAAGAGAAGGGAGAAAAGTTTGGGGGGGTGATCATGATGAGAGTGGCGGGCACCTGAGGTAAGGCGCAAAGGTAGTAGTCTTAGGCGGGAGAAAAAATTCCCATGTTGGAGATGCAGTTTTTAAATGCAAATTGGAAATTATGACCCTAAAACAGGATGCTGGCATTTTCCTACAGGATGCTGGTACTTTCAAATTCCTAATCAGAAATGTGATTCAGTAGGTTGTTTTTAACCAAACAAAAACTGTAGGAGGTCTTATCTAGCTTTTGATTTTAGAATAAACTTTGCATAATCACCCTCTAGTCAGAGTAGTCTTGATTCAAGGACATAGGGAGATGTATCATTGGCAGTTTTTAAACCAATAAGAGAAAAAGAGGAGAAAACATTGCTTAAAAATCAGATATCAAAATCAAGGATTGTTTGGGCTATATTTGCAAGTGGAAAAGTTTCTGTGATATTTAGAAATTGTGAAAATTGTGTTAAAAATATTGAAGAAGTAGCAGAATGGGAAAATTGAACCCTAAAACACATGTGCATAGAGTTTTCAAAAGATTATCATTTATTTATTGCTTTTGCATATTCCAGAGTTATATAAACAAGTAGAAAATTACAAGAAGCATTTGAATCTTGTTTTTGTAAATGGCTGGTTTTTGAAGAAATTTAGATATTGGTTTTTCAGTTGGATTCTTCCCATTTTTACTGCATACCACAGGATTCTAGAGATACCAGTTTTTGTTGATGATAACACAGCTTTATTCATTTATTCATCCTACAAGGACAGTGTGCGAATTGTTTACACTTACATTTTCAAAGCCTTTATAGGATCTTAAAAAATGTACAGCCATTTTCAAACACTTGAAATGCAAGCCTAGGAGTCATTCTGTGTTTCTGAGGTAACAGCTTAGAGAGGGCCAACAACATGGTTTGGGGGTTTCAAGGCTCCCCACCTGGACAAGGCAGTGACTATTGCTCCTGAAGAAACACTATGGAGCTCTCCTTGACTCTGGGTTCTACCTTACTGGTTCCTTGGCCTGAAGCATCCTGCCAAAGGTCTCTCTCTTGTGCTTGCCCCCTTGGATAGGCGATGCTTAGCTTCGGCTTGTGATTTCATTTTGGCATTACTACAAGATAATGCATGTCAAGCTGAACTTCTGCAGTGTAACTGTGGGGCAAGAGGCATCTGCTCAGCCAGCCCAGGCCCTATCTGGGAAGTACCAGGAAACAGTATTTTCAGCCTGCCTCCACCCCAAGGTCCTGGGTGTGTTTGCTGGCCTGCAGAGGATGCTGGGATTTCTGGTGATCTGATTACTTCTGTAGAGCTGGAGAATGCACTCGTACCCTCCTACTCCTGGTGGAGCTGGTCTGGGAAGCCCTATAGAACTGAACGTTGACACATGCATTGAACTTTTGCTGCAGGGAAGAGGATGAGCACTCGGGAAGAACGGGCACTGAGGTTGAGTCGGGGACTTGCACAAAAATGCTGACTCATGCTGATGGTTCTGCAAAGTCCTGACTAAATTCAGGCTAGGTCACCCGCAGCACCTTAATGCCGACTCTCATGGGGTCAGCCCAGAACACACTATTTTTTTTTAATAAGCAGAATTTTTTACACTAATACATAGAAATATAATGCAATAGTTATTGATAAATAGGGCTTTCCTCTCATCCTTTCGTCGTTTGTATTTTAAGCTAATTCATATCCATTGTGTATATTAATGAGTTTCTCTGTATTTTCATACATGTAGATCCTACTTTGATCTTGTCTCTAGCCCCACTCCCCGCGCCCCCTTACCCTTCCTAGGCTGGCTTTATGCTTGCTATGTGTAGCCAAAGATGACCTTGAACACCTGATCTTCCTCCCTCCACCTGCCACGTGCTAGGATTATAACTGTGTACCACCTGGCCTGTTTTACTTAAAAAATTTATTCCACAAATGACAGAAAACAACTGATCCTTGATTCCTGCATCTGGCTTGTTTGCTTCATACGATGTCCTGTAGTTCCATTCATTTTCCTGCAAATAACATGATTTCTTTCTTCTTCAAGATGGTATGTGTATTGCGTATGTGTGTTGTATTTGTCTTATCCACTCATATGTTGAGAGGTACCCAGGCTGTTCACATAACGTGGTCACTGTGAACAGTGAACAAACATGAAGTGCGGTTGTCTGCACTTCTTTCCTGGAACACACCTTCTTGCCTCTTCTTGGAAAACTGAACCCCATGAAATTCGGAGACGGGGCGACACTGAAAGGACTCACCAGAGGACAGGCTCCCTGCATTCATTAAACTGTCTATGCTGGGCAAACAACTGAATCTTTGTGCTTTTAAATTGATTTTAATACTAATCTACAAAATAACTGGATTCATTATGACATTATCATATATGTCTAATATTCCACTCACTCATATTCATCCCCTGTCTTGTACTTTCATGGTTTTGGAATGGATGCACAGTCATACTTTATGCATTTTTCCATCTGTTTCTCTGAAGTGGCCTCTATGGCAGATTTAGAGGAATACGAAGGTTCTATTACAAATGCCCCTCAATCCTTACAAAACAGTCACTTTCATTTTTCATAATACATGCTGCCAAAAATGGTCAAGCACATCTGAGAAGACTGCAAATAAGACTTGAAGTTAAAACTGTCTGTACCCGGGAAGTCTGTCCAGCCCAATAGGTTTCTTTGGTTCCTATGCATGAGAGACAACTCACCAGTATTTTTGCAGGGCTCTGTCTGTGGAGCTGGGCCACAGGCACATCCCGCTTCCTGACAAGATGGGGGATGGTGGAGTTTCGCAGAAAGGCGCTAAGCTCTGGGGTGTCATCTGGGGAGGCAGCGGGCTGCAAATGGAAAGCAGGAGAGATCACACTTGATTCCATTCACAGTTGTTATCTTTTCATTCACCTTGAACTCTGGGAGCTTGAATTGGACTCACATGAGAGTTCACCTGTGTTGGGAGTACCAGTGGCACATTGGACAGTAAAGTGACCTACTGACAAGAAACAAGCCTTCCTTGTTCCAGGAATTCTCCAGTTACAGGAATTTATGAAGCATGGGCACATGCATCCTTGGGAAGTTTATCTTGTAAGGATAAGATTTCAAGCAGAAGTAGTTTCCGCAGGGTGACATCATGAAACTGACTTTCTAGTCACAAGTTACTCTTGCGACGAAGTGGGGCTGGCTAAATGAAGAGATGAATGTAGAGGTAGCAGGAAAGGAGGGAAGCAGCCTGATATCATCAACCACTTAAAGTCTCCGTGACAGTGTCCCCTGCTCCTGTGCTCACAAAACATGGACATAGGAAGGGCTGTTCTAAGGAAAACGAGTTTCCCAGGGATGCTCCATGTACACCGTGCTGTAACTGAGCTTACTTTCCACACTTCATTTGTTTTGTAATTGTCCTAGAACTGGCAGTTATTTATCTCAGGCTCCATTCTGAGCACAACTGATGGCTGAAAAAATATGTTGAGTGTTTCAATAAACCACACACAATATGCTATTTATATTATTCTAAATGTGCTCAGCCTGCAGCCACATGCGGCCATAGACAACTATGCACACAGTCCAACGCTATGAATGCGTGCCTTTAATCCAGCACTCAGGAGGCAGAGCCAGGTAGATCAATGTGAGTCTGAAGCCAGCCTGGTCTACACAGTGAGTTCTAGCAGGGCTACATAGTGATAACCTATTTCAAACAAAAACAACAACAACAGTAATAATAATTGTAAACTCACAATATGAGAGTGGGTTTATTTTGTATTTGACTGTACCGTTCTCACATGTGAACATCTACAGATGACAACGTTGTGTTTCAGTGACAACAAGTTGGACACACCTATGACCAACTGAACATAGAAGCCTACCATCTAGTTCCACCCTGAAAGTTAAGCCTTCTTTTATCTGGATCTGTAAGTGATGGGAGTAGAATTAGTATCCTCATCTCTGGAATGAAAAAAGAAATTCCTGCATCACAGTTGTGGGGTGTACCACAAAAGATAAAAAAATGATGCTCACTATATCACAAGAAGGGTTGATAGAGTCTAGAGGGATCTGTGGGAGAGACAGATGTGTGGAATCCAGACTCTTCAACATGACATGGTCCTCTACATGCTGGGCTTTATCTCTGCTGGTTTCTCTACACTCATCTCACCAAGAGCCCCTTGAATTCAGCTCTCCAGCATCCGAAGTGTTTTCCACTCCTAAGTTACAACAGGCCAATGCTCTGAGCTCCTTTTTCATGTTGTATATGTGTTATGTGGCCCATCAGTGCCCATTAGGCTGAACCACAAGTACTACTAACTGGGCTGAATGAGAAAAAATAAAGTGAGAAGCATAGAATCACATACAGTCTCCTAGAAAACATCAGAAAACAGGCAGAGAAAGAAGATCTAACAAGGAAACGTCAGCTGGGGTATCAGGTGGAAAAGCTATCCAGGAAAGTGGTTTTGCTGAAGCCCAAGGAAAGGGACCTGCAGGTACCACAAAGATCTTGAGGAGAAGGGAAACAGGATGAGGGACAGAAGCATTGTCTGGATACGTTACTTAAACATTTGTGAATGTCCTCTCCTCAGTGGACAGTTCCATAGGTAAAAATCAAATTGCTGTAGCTCAAGATGGAAGGGGTTTGGACAGGCGGACAATTGTTTGAAAAAAGTGCCAAATAGTCCTTCTACCACTGCCATCTTAAAGTAACCTTTCCCCACCCCTTAGTCTCCATAGATAGTGCCAGGCAACTGAGAAGCATAGTAGGACCCAGTCCCCCTAAAACCAAGCAACCAAGCAAGCAAGCAAATAAACAAAAAAGTAGTTCCCGGAGGCTTAGAGTTGGGATGAACCTTAAGTGGGAGGGCAAGAGGCCCAGTCTTGAAGAGGATACTGGTCAAGCTATTTGCCTTATGTTTATTTTGATGATGGAGGAAACTTAAGGAGTTTATAAGATCCAAGGAAGAGACAGTAGAAGAGGTTGAAGATACAGGGAATGGAGGGTGGGGGGCATTTGATGTAGAAAAGTTAAATCTTGAGCTGTAGGAGGAAATGTCCTTTCTCTGAAAGTATTGTGGAGAAGAGTTGAGGATGGGAGAGAGGATTAGAAGCTGTGTGTGGTGGGCTGAGTTTTGTGATGTGAAAATGTATCATTTGAAGACTCTTCAGTTTTAAGATCACTACCAGTAGTAATAATGTGAAAGAAAATGGACAAGAAATGCCGGGAGAGGAATGAGGACTTGGAGAAGCCAATGAGGAGAATGAGGACAGAGCTTTCCTGTGACGGGAGTGGCCTCATGAACAGCTCTAGCCAGCAGGCCATAATGGTCCCATCGGCAAAGGGGTGGAGAAGCAGGACTGTGGAACTGTTTCTGGATGGATTTTCAGGGCCAAGACATGGAAGGGCACTGAAGGAGGGAGATTAAGACAGTTCATAAAGGATGTGCAGGTAGCTTGTCTTGGATTCTAGGCGTGGCTGGAAAGTATAGCCAAAGGCAGCCGTGAAGGAGGGTGCGCTAACTGCCTCAGAGAAAGTATTTCCTAAAGGCAGAGAAGGCTCGTGGAGACAGCAAGTGAAGAACATTATAAAAATAGGAGAAATTTTTGAAGAGTAGGCTGTTGAGTTGAGTTTGACAGAGGCAAAGTATCTAGAGAACATGTTCAAGACCAGTAGCCAAAGCCCTGAGATGTGAGGTGCGTCGATGGAAGCGAGGTAAACTCAGGTTAGCCCCAGGGATGCTAGAATATTCCAGGACAATGTCAGAGTCTGTCCTTGCAAGGAGGCCAAACCAAGGAATTGTTCATAGATGCTTAGTGATGGAGGACCTGAGAAAAAAAGTGTTACAGCCTAAGATTTTAAAATTGATCTTAGACAATTCAGGATTGTGTAAATCCCTAATTTCCTGTATGTTTTCTATTACATATGCTGTATGTGTCTGCCATTGTGGCTTTCAGATTTACGGTGTGCAACTTCTCTTTCCTTTTTCTGTTTTTTTTTCCACTTTATTTGAGACATGGTGTCATTAAGTAGCCCAGGCTAGTCTTAAACTTGTAATCCCCCTGCCTAGCCTCTAGAAGTTAGCTGAAGTACAGACTAGAAGTACTGCAAAGAACTGGGTCATAATTCTTTTTGTGGGTGGAGAGAGAGAGAGAGAAAGAGAGAGAGAGAGGTTGTATGTGTTCAGATCCACACACATATCTGGAGGCCAGAGATATCACCCTTGGCTGATGTTTTTATCAGGTGCACTCTACCTTGCTTATTTGAGACAGGGTCTCTCATTGGCCAGGAATTTTCCAAGTAGGCTAGGCTGGTTGGACAGTAAGCCCTACGGATCTGCCTGAATCTGCCTCCCTAGTGCTGGGGATTAAAATGTGTACCACCACACCTGATCTTTTTTTTTTTTTTTTTCTTAACATAGGTTCTTGAGATTGAATCCAGGTCCTTACACTTGTGAGACAAGCACTTTACCAACTGAGCCATCTCCCTATCCCCTAAGTCATGATTCTTTAGTCCCAGGTTACAACCCATGATTACTATCAGTATTGGTAAAACAATGACCCAAAGACAAGAACTTGGTTTCATCAGATGCAGATTATATATAAAGAAAGAACATATCCTACTCAGGGACGTTATCATTTGGTAATATTAGTACGTTGTTCTCTGGATGAAGCATATGGCTTACTCTGAGCTAGAGAATAAAGTTTCTGCAAGGCAGAGGTTGACAGAACATGTTCCTTTCATTTTATGACACTGTTTTTTTCAAATAAAGAAATGCCACTCTTAAGCACCATAGTCAAAAGGTCTTTAAAAAGCCCACAAGCCAGTTTTCTCAAATGGCATTCCAGAAATTATTCCAAAAACAAAACATAACAAAATGGAAGAAGTTATCCAAGAAATGTAAGCAATAATTAAAATTTCATTTCTAGACCAATATTGGAGTCGCTTTCACAGTTGTCCATGAACCCACGGGTCATGTTTTCCTTCAGTCTGAGATCACTGGAGGTTAAGGAGGCAGCTCTCTAAGTATTGGTCCTAGGCAGACAGAGTTCAGAGTGTAAACTGGTCAGACACTGTGAGTAGCAGGAAGTAGACACTCAAGTGACTTCCTAAGAACAATAGCTTCTTTCTGCAACAAGGGAACAATTGTTAGTAAATACTTTTTTCTCCAGCTGCTACTTGGAATTTGACCCTAAGAAGCATTTTCTATTTTCATAACTCTTTGGCAAACTCCTCACTCTGGCGTAGTATAAATTTATGGATTAAAGGGACAATATGCAGTCAGAATGGGTAACTCTGTTGAAAAACAGAATTTGAAGAAAAGTGGTCAGGTGAAATGGGATTGAGGGTGCTGAGAATCCAGACTAACGTGGCATCCTGTCCTGTTTGCAATGTGCTTTTGGATTCAGGTATTCCTGACATACAAGAGACGGTAAACTAACATCATGGGCTTCTTTGTCTGCAATTAAATCTAAGTGGAAGTAAGCCCAGAGGCAGTCTACCATGCAATTAAGACAGAGATGTTAAGGGTTTGGGAGGAAAGGGAAACCTCATTGTTTTCTTCCTGAAAGCTTCATGCAAGGGTTAACTAGAAGAATCAGCTCACTCCATTGATGGTGTTGAAGAAAGTTTTCTTAGTAAAAAACTAAGATAAGGAGGTATGTGGACTGACTGGCTTAGCTCCTCCCCCATGAGGCAGAGTCCGCAGGAACGAAGTTGGCTAAGGTATTTTTATTTTTATTTATTTATTATTCTATTTGTGTGTGTGTGTGTGTGTTTGTGTGTGTGTGATGTATATGTATGCATGGGTGTGCACATGCATGTGTGTACATATGTGTGGAGGTCAGAGGACCACACATG